ACTCATCTTTTTTATATACTTATACATGCATTTACTCATTCTATTGGCTATTATAGCAGATAAAATCTTTGCATCCTGATTAACTAACGATATGGGCCTATATGACCCCGGGTCTGTTAAGTATTTATCAGATTTTGGTATTAATATTATTAGTGACTTCCTCCATGATTCTGGCATTTTATCTCCCTTCATTATTCCATTATACAATTCTTTATATACTTTCATAGAACATAGAACCCCTGATGACTCTGTTCTGTGTCTCTTCCAGGGCTGCTGATACCTCAAGCTCCATTTCTGGTGGCCAAACTGGGTGGCTGTCAAGGAGACTCGGGAGGCTGTGAAGGAGGTGTAAGAAGATGCCCCTCTCGTGGATCACCCTTAGGCCTGGGAGGGAAGGTGTGGTGGCCTGCCCAGAAGAAGCACCACAAGCCACCACGCCCCAGGCAACAAGCTCCATTTCTGGTGGCCAAACCGAGTGGCTGTCGAGGAGACGCAGGAGCCTGTGAAGGAGGTTTAAGAAGATGCTCCTCTCGTGCATCACCTCCAGGCCTGGGAGGGAAGGTGTGGTGGCCTGCCCAGAAGAAGCACCACAAGCCACCACGCCCCATGCAACAAGCTTCATTTCTGGTGGACAAACGGGGTGGCTATTGAGGTGACGCAGGAGGCTGTGAAGGAGGTTTAAGAAGACACTCCTCTTGTGCATCACCTCCAGGCCTGGGAGGAAAGGGGTGGTGGCTTGCCCAGAAGGAACACTGTGGGCCACCACACCCCAGGCGACAGTTTCTTTGTTTACCTTCATAGAACATAGAACCCTTGCTGGCTCTGTTCTGTGTCTTTTCCAAGGCGGCTGATGCCTCAAGTTCCATTTCTGGTGGCCAAACCGGGTGGCTGTCGAGGAGACGCGGGTTTCACGCAGCCAGTCATCAATGGCCAGGAGGCTGTGGAGGAGGCTTAAGAAGATGCTCCTCTCATGCATCACCTCCAGCCGTGGGAGGAAGGGTGTGGTGACCTGCCCGGGAGGAGCACCACGGGCCACCACACCCCAGGTGACAGTTTCTTTGTCTACCTTCATCGAACATATAACCCTTGATAACTGTGTTCTGTGTCTCTGATGCCTAAAGTTCCATTTCTGGTGGCCAAACCGGGTGACTGTCATGGATACGCAGGTTTCGCGCAGCCAGTCATCAAAGGCCAGGAGGCTGTGGAGGAGACTTAAGAAGATGCTCCTCTCGTGCATCACCTCCAGCCCTGGTAGGGAGGGTGTGGTGGCCTGCCCGGGAGGAGCACTGCAGGTCACCACACCCCAGGCGACAGTTTCTTTGTTTACCTTCATCGAACATAGAACCCTTGCTGGCTCTGTTCTGTGTCTTTTCCAAGGCCACTGATGCCTCAAATTCCTTTTCTGGGGGCCAAACCGGGTGGCTGTCGAGGAGACGCAGGTTTTGTGCGGCCAGTCATCAAAGGCCAGGAGGCTGTGGAGGAGACTTAAGAAGACGCTCTCGTCCATCACCTCCAGCCGTGGGAGAGAGGGTGTGGTGGCCTGCCCGGGAGGAGCACCGCAGGTCACCACACCCCAGGTGACAGTTTCTTTGTTTACCTTCATCGAACATATAACCCTTGATGACTGTTTTCTGTGTCTCTTCCAGGGCCGCTGATGCCTAAAGTTCCATTTCTGGCGGCCAAACCGGGTGGCTGTCGAGGAGACGCAGGTTTCATACAGCCAGTCATCAAAGGCCAGGAGGCTGTGGAGGAGGCTTAAGAAGATGCTCTCGTGCATCACCTCCAGCCGTGGGAGAGAGGGTGTGGTGACCTGCCCGGAAGGAGGATCGCGGGCCACCACACCCCAGGCGACAGTTTCTTTGTTTACCTTCATAAAACACAGAATCCTTGCTGTCTCTGTTCTGTGTCTCTTCCAAGGCCGCTGATGCCTCAAGTTCCATATCTGGTGGCCAAACCGGGTGGCTGTCGAGGAGACGCAGGTTTTGCGCAGCCAGTCATCGAAGGCCAGGAGGCTGTGGAAGAGACTTAAGAAGACGCTCTCATGCATCACCTCCAGCTGTGGGAGAGAGGGTGTGGTGACCTGCCTGGAAGGAGCACCGCGGGCCACCACACCCCAGGTGACAGTTTCTTTGTTTACCTTCATCGAACATACAACCCTTGATGACTGTGTTCTGTGTCTCTTCCAGGGCCGTGGATTCCTCAAGTTCCGTTTCTGGGGGCCAAACCGAGCGGCTGTCGAGGAGACGCAGGTTTCGCGCAGCCAATCATCGTTGGCCAGGAGGTTGTCAAGGAGACGCAGGAGGCTGTCGATGAGGCTTAAGTCCTGGGAGAAAGGGTGTGGTGGTCATCAATGGCCAGGAGGTTGTCGAGGAGACGCAGGGGGCTGTCGATGAGGCTTAAGTCCTGGGAGAAAGGGTGTGGTGGTCATCAATGGCCAGGAGGTTGTCGAGGAGACGCAGGAGGCTGTCGATGAGGCTTAAGTCCTGGGAGAAAGGGTGTGGTGGTCATCGATGACCAGGAGATTGTCGAGGAGACACAGGAGGCTGTCGATGAGGCTTAAGTCCTGGGAGAAAGGGTGTGGTGCCCTGCCCAGGAGGAGGCCAGGTGGAACACCGCGGGCCACCACACTCCAGGCGACAGCGGAGGAGGCTGGCCAGTCTGCCTCCATCCCTTCCAACCATCATAGAGGAAGACGAGGTGGTGTGATTGAGGAAATAAGGTGTGTATTTTGACGGACGAGATCTGGAACGTTGTCCTTTTTTGTTCTCTTATGTCTTGTTCTAGATGTCATGACTCGTAGTTGCTGATCGCTTTCTCACCTGAAGAAAAGGAGTTGTCTTCTCGAAAGAGGGAGTTAGAAAACCGGGCAGCCCTCTTGCCCTGATCCTGGACCTGCAACGGGACTTTTCCACTCCTCGAATTGGAGGATTTTCATCCGATTTGGACCTTTACAGCTCTCTTGAACCATGGCTGACTTTCTGTTTGGAGAGCTGTGCTCCATGATGATCTTTTCCATCTCGCATAAGAGCAACGTGACCGTCTGTTCACTTTTCCTTCTTTGGGAAGATTTTCTCGTCAGATTTGGAGCCCTGAAGCTTTCCTACATTGGGACTGATCTCAGACAGAGAGACTTGAGAGCAATTGCTCCTTTTTCCCTGTATTGGATTGAGCTTTGTGTTGGGGATTTGGGTGTCACCACATGCTACATGTCTATAGTCATTACAGTTAGTTCTCCTAACTAACTGTATTCGCGGAGCAGGCGAATCTAATGGCGAGCCAGCCAGGAGCCCCTGCCTTTAAGCTGATCTGACCTGCAGCAGGGAGTTTCGTTGTTCCTGGTTGCCCAACTGGGCCAGCATCACTGGGAGTGTGGCCACAGCAGCAGCTTCAACTTCGAGATCTCCTTTTGCCTTGCTTTGCTTTCTTCCCCTCCACCCAAAATTGTAACAAATCCCCCAATAAAGTATCAATTAATTGTAACTTTTTCCTCTCCATAGTGATACATTGTGTCCTTTACTGCCTCCAAACTCTTTCCAGCATGAACCTTCCCTCTCCTGGGCCACAGACAGCTGCTGGCCCACCTGGGATGCGATTCCACGGATACGGGGAAACCCATTGGGTCCCCGTATCCGCGGGTCAATGGATTGCTCCTAAACTGGTGTCATTCTTCTCCTAGACTAATTTCAAGGCTAATAGCTATCTCGCTTTTGCTCTATTAACCCCTCTACCACAGGAATAACCTTTTTTGCACACTAAAGCTCCACTTGGAGATCAGCTGGCTCCCCACTGCTGAAATGTTTCTGCCGCTGTCTCGTTGATCCCAAAGAACCTGTTGACATGGGGAACCAGTTGCGGTCACTCCTTGGGACCCCCAGGAAGCAGACAGGAAATCCTGGCCCCTTGATGAGATGGGATTTATAGTTTTCTTCACTCCAATAGATGGACCCCAACCCCCAGCACTTGCAATGACTCCTATATGGACCCAATGGACTCAGAAAAATCTTCCCCCTTTGACTTCACGGATTTTGTGAACTTTTATTGGACTTTGACCAACTTTTGACAAACTTTTAAAAGTTTTAGTAACTTTTTCTCCTCAAATCTCTACCTATCAAGCTGCCCATCTATCCACCCTCTTTCCTCCAACTTTCCTTCCTCAGTCTCCTCTTGCCACAATTCCTCACTGCCTGCCTACCCACCCTACCCACCCATCCTCCCTCCCTCCCTTCTATCCTTCCTCAGTCTCCTCTTGCCACAATTCTTCACTTCTATCTGCCTAGTCTACTATCCATCCATCATCTCCTCCCTCCCTTCCTTCTTTCCTTCCTCAGTCTCCTTTCCACAAATCCTCACTTCTATCTACCTAACTATCCATCCATCCATCCATCATCTCCTTCCTTCCTCCTCTCCTTTTTTCCTTCCTCAGTCTCCTCTTGCCACAATTCCTCACTTCTACCTTCCTATCCGTCCATCATCTCCCTCCTTTCCTCCTCAGTCCCTTTTCCTCCCTCCCTCCCCTCCTTCTTTCCTTCCTCAGTCTCCTCTTGCCACAAATCCTCACTTCTATCTACTTACCTATCCGTCCATACACGTATCATCTCCTCCCTCCCTTCTTTCCTTCCTCAGTCCCTTTTCCCTTGCCACAAATCCTCACTTCTATCTACTTACCTACCTACCTATCCGTCCATCCATCCATCATCTCCTCCCTTCCTTCTTTCCTTCCGCAGTCTCCTTCCTCCTCTGGCCACACTTCCTCACTTCTACCTACCTACCTATCCGTCTATCCATCCAACATCTCCTCCCTCCCCTCCTTCCTTCCTTCCGCAGTCTCCTCTTTCCACAAATCCTCACTTCTATCTACCTACCTATCTGTCCATCCATCCAATATCTCCCTCCCTCCCCTCCTTCTTTCCTTCCTCAGTCTCCTCTTGCCCCAATTCCTCATTTGTATCTACCTACCTACCTACCCATCCCTCCATCATCTCCTCCCTTCCTTCTTCACCGGGCACTTAATTCTCAAGAAGGACCTTGTAGATCCACTTCTGGAACCCGGCCACGGCGGTGTAGACCCCTGGGAAGCGGGGCGTGGCGCAGCTGTGGCCCCAGGAGACGATGCCCAGGACGCGGCCCTCACACACCAGCGGGCCTCCCGAGTCGCCCTGCAGACAAGAGTAATAGCAATAATAATGGGGAATAATGATGTTGGTGATGAATTCTCCTTCCCTGGAGGTTTCTTAGCAGAGGTTGGATGGCTATCTGTTGGGAGGGCTTGGATGGTGCCTTCTTCTGTGGGAGAAAGGGGTTGGACTGGATGGCCTTTGGGGTTCTTTTCCATCCATCCATCTATCTATTCTATTTATTGACCATCTCTATTTATCTGTCTAGCTATCTCTCTCTTTCTCTCTCTCTCTCTCTCCCTCCATCTATCTACTTTTCTTTCTCTTTCTCTCTACCTACCTCTCTACCTGATTATCTATCCATCCATCCATCTATCTATTCTATATATTGACCATTTATCTATCTATCTATCTATCATCTACCTATCTATCTATCTATCTATCTATCTATCTATCTATCTATCTATCGGTTCTATTTATCTGTCTAGCTATCTCTCTCTCTCTCCCTCCCTCCATTTTATATCTGCTTTTCTTTCTCTTTCTCTCTATCTACCTCTCTACCTGATTATCTATCTATCCATCCATCCATCCATCTATTCTATTTATTGACCATCTATCTATCTGTTCTATTTATCTGTCTAGCTATCTCTCTCTCTCCCTCCCTACTTTTCTTTCTCTTTCTCTCTTTAACTATCTATCTACCTACCTCTTTACCTATCTATCTATCTATCTATCTATCTATCTATCTATCTATCTAACTATCTACCTGTTCTATTTATTGGCCACCTCTCCTCCTCCCCCTCCCTCCCTCTCTCTCTCTTTCTATTCTATTTGTCAGCCACCTTTCTCTCTCTCGCTATCTACTTTCTACCTACTACACTACCTCACTATCCTATCTATCTATCCATCCATCCATCCATCCATCCATCATCTCTACCATCTATCTATCCATCCATCTATCCATCCATCATCTCTACCATCCATCATCTCTACCATCTATCTATCCATCATCTCTACCATCCATCCATCCATCCATCTATCTATCTATCTATCTATCCATCCATCCATCCATCCGTACATCATCTCTACCATCCATCATGTCTACCATCTATCCATCCATCCATCATCTCTACCATCCATCATCTCTACCATCCATCCATCCATCCATCCATCCATCCATCCATCCATCCATCCATCTATCTATCTATCTATCTATCTATCTATCTATCTATCTATCTATCTATCTATCTATCTATACTAGCCATCCCCTGCCATCTATCTATCTATCTATCTATCTATCTATCTACCTATCTATTTTATTTATTGGCCACCTATCTCTCTCCCTTTCTCTCCCTCCCTCCCTCCCTCTATCTATCTATCCTACTTTTCTTTCTCCTTCCCTCTATCTACCTACGTCTCTCTCTCTCTTTTTCTCTTTCTCTCTTTAACTATCTATCTACCTACTACTCTACCTCACTTTCTTTCCATCTATCTATCATCTATCTATCTATCTATCTATCTATCTATCTATCTACCTATCTATTTTATTTATTGGCCACCTATCTCTCTCCCTTTCTCTCCCTCCCTCCCTCCCTCTATCTATCTATCCTACTTTTCTTTCTCCTTCCCTCTATCTACCTACGTCTCTCTCTCTCCATCTATCTACTTTTCTTTCTCTTTCTCTCTTTAACTAGCTCTACCTACCTCTCTCCCTCCCTCCCTTCCTTTCTAACTTACCTTTCTTTCTATTTTATCTCTTTCTCTCTCTCTATGCATCTACCTACCTACCTACCTTTCGTTCATTCTCTCCTTCTAACTGTCTACCTCCCTTCCTTTCTCTCTATCTATTCTCTCTATCTATCCATCCATCTATCCATCCATCCATCCATCATCTATACCATCTATCCATCCATCTACCGTATCTATCTATCCATCCATCCATCCATCCATCATCTCTACCATCTATCCATCCATCCATCCAGCCATCCATCCAGCCATCCATCCATCCATCCAGCCATCCATCCATCCATCCAGCCATCCATCCATCCATCCATCCATCCATCCATCTCTACCATCTATCCATCCATCATCCCTACCATCCATCCATCCATCTATCTATCTATCTATCTATCTATCATCTATCTACCTATCTATCCATCTATCCATCCATCCATCATCTCTACCATCTATCTATCTATCTATCTATCTATCTATCTATCTATCTATCTATCTATCTATCTATCTATCTATCCATCCATCCATCCATCCATTCACCCATCTATCCATCCATCCATCTATCTATCTATCTATCTATCTATCCATCCATCCATCCATCCATCCATCCATCCATCCATCATCTCTACCATCTATCCATCCACCATCTCTACTACCTACCTACCCACCTACCATCCATCCATCTATCTATCTATCTATCTATCTATCTATCTATCTATCTATCTATCTATCTACCCATCCATCCATCCATCCATCATCTCTACCATCTCTCTATCTTAGGGATTTGGACTAAGAATAACAATAACAATGATGGTGGCGTACTCTCCTTCTGCGGGTAGCCACATATGGAAAGGGTGCCTTCTCACCTGGGATGGGGTAGACCAGATGCCCTATGATTGCCCCTTCCCACCCACTTGGCCCTACCTGGCAGGCATCTTTTCCTCCGGCGCTGAACCCAGCG